CCTTGTCCAGATGGAAAAATGAGAAAAGATAAACTTAAAAATCTTACTCTCCATCTCAGAGCTGCCATCCTGAACTGTTTGAATAATTCAGCCAAATACAAGAGAATGACCAAAGCTGTATTGTTTCAGTTAAAAGTATCTGCTAGTGCTGCTCTTGTTAAAATTGCATGCTGTTACCTGATCTGAATCTAAGTGACTTATGAAAGCAGCTTCCTTCAGCGTCTCTTTGATGCCTGCCAGGAGGCTGAGGACAAGAGCAGCTACCTGCCATTAAAAAGGTGTCACTAATGACACAGTCCAGGTCACTCTGACTGGAAAACATGCAGACACACAAAATAACAAAATATCTAGACACTCACTGATGATTTTATTTATTCAACACAAGTGAAACTCTATTATTTTTGTTATTTCATGCTTTTAGTCTGTGCTACTTAGTGGAACAAACAGTTTTTATCATTTTTACCCAAACAAGAAAATGTGTCCAAATTGAAATGTAAGAAAAAGCAGATATGGTTCACAACTTTCTCTGTTGACCAAAACCACATCTACCTGTTTACATGTGAAACTGCATGAATTATTTATGGAGGCCTACCTGCCTACGCAAGTCGAGGCAACACCTGCCACACGCACGATATGCTGCTCACAGCAGCTGCTCTGCTACTCCTATTTATCCACTTCCTGCATTATTTACTTGTTGTTTAGTGGATATTCAAAAGACATACCTTTCTTTCTTTCTTTTTTTCTAAAGAAAAGTGCTGGAGCAATGCTACACAGGTTACTGAATAACTTGGCGACTGAATAAATTACAGCTTGTGCACATTTATTCAAAGATTCAGCTCGGGTCTGGGGGAAAGCTGAAATTACAGTGGAGGTGACCTCATGCGATGCAATGCCCCACTGCTGTTTTAAGTATATGTCTTGCACAGACAAAGACATTTTTGTTTTTTTACTTTCCTGCTGCTGCATTCCACAGATTCTATTGATTCCTCTCTCTCACAGTCTCCCTGTGTTTGACTGCAATCACTGACTTGGGTGTGATAGGAAAGAAAAACCTCAGGAGCTGCAAGGAGAAGAATAACACACTGGCAAACAAATAACACTCTGAGCCAACTGAACACAAAAGCAAAGTGTCCAGCCTCTGAGAGTTTTTCCACTGTTTGTGATTTGCCCTTCACCTGCATACCAATCTGAGGCAGGACGTGAGCACCGTCCACCTTCTTTCCTCCATGTCATGTAACTCTCAACGGCCCCTATTGAGCCTCCCATAAGTTCCAATATACACAAACAGCCCCTGAAAAGCCTCCTCTGTTGCACTGTTGACACAACACCCATAAGAGCCTAGATAACCCTGTAAGTCCTAAAATTATAGCCACTCTGCAAGTGAGCCACAGGACCGAACAGAACAACTTTCACTCAACCACATTTTTTTGGGATTAACGTAGACATTTGAGTGGAAGGTTTTGGTAAAAACCCCACATTCAGCATGAGTGTCACTGTTATTATGGTGGATTTACACAAAACTGTAATTATGAGGGAGTTGGCTATAAAATGGCGTACATATTCACTTTTGTCTGCCATCTTTATAGTCACAAAAATATTGAAAAAAAATCTCCATATTCCTGTTTTAGCTCTAAACAATGTCGGTAATTGATGAGTTGGGTGTATATGGGTAGATGGGTAGGTTGGGTATACTTGCCTAAATATTCCAGTGTCTTTTTGGTTGATAGGTGGGTCTCCCCCATAAAGACCTGCGTAAACCCTCCACTACACCACTGCTGTCTACTGACTGAGATGCTGAGCTCAGGCTCTGATTAAACCTGAAAATGGATCCTATCACACACACCTACATCCACTCTCACTCAGCCTGAGAGATGCAGCCACTCATACATGAGGGCACATTATTCATAATGTTGGCTTGTGACTGGCTTCTCTTGCTGCTCTCATCCTGTGTATTGATACATATGAAAACTAGTAGATACTTGTCTATAGTTGTATAGAGAAAGAGGAAGATGGCTCAGAGTTACCATGGAGACTAAAAGGATCTACTGGTGTTTGTTGTGTGAATCACATGTTATGATCACAACAGGAATATTGCAAAACATCGACTGTGTGAGGAAACCCAACAGAAGAGTTTAACCCGGCGTTCAAAGTGATGTACTGATAAGTGCAGTTTCACTTTGAAGCTTTAACAAGTGAACGCCGACATTGTGCAGCTGTTTAAGTGTTGGGAAATGTCTCAGGTATATGCTGCCTCAAAGAGCAAGAAAAAAAAGCACTGCAGTGAACTTTTAAACGACTCACATCATTTCCAATAAAATGAAACTGATTTTTTCTTATCAGAGGAGGAAAAAGCCGCACTCACCTTGACAGAGTTGCAGATTTGAATTCCAGGTGATGAGGACAGAGATGTTGGGAACAGTCGCTTTATCTCACCCTACTGAGAAAACACAGCCAATAAACAGGAGATACTTTAACTACAGCCTCAAACACACAGCAATTTCCAGTCTGACATGCACACACATGCACCGTCCAGCCCCGCTCTGAGGAGCATCAGTCTCTCCACCGCTGTATGTGGGAGGGCGGTGGTGCGTGACTGACCGAAGTCAACTCCAATTAAACTGCAGCCAAAGCTTAGCGTCACCTCGAAGGGGCGTGGCTTGTGTCATTGACATCTTATTTTCCGTGACGTATTGCGGAGGACCCCAAAAAACAAGGACACACAAGTCAAACTCATCACTCCGCAAGTGAGTCATTTAACTGGGGACTTTTAATTATGATTTAATTGCAAATGCATTTTCATGACACATTCTTGTGTCCACTGGTAGATAAGAAGTGGAATTATGCTTATCTGTTTTTGGGAACTGGGTGATGTGGTAAAAATGATGTCAAAGGAGCCAAAATGACAAGATAACTGTCCTAAGATAAGAGGAAATGAAGTCAGAATGATAAATGACAAAACTTGGGACCAAAAATGATGTTATGCTGCCACCTGCTGGACATATGGTTGAATCACAGCTTTCCAGTCATGCTCATGGCATAATGACAAACATGTAAAACAAAAAATATATTTGCAAACAGTGTTTTACAAACAAAATATTTGCATATGCCCACTCAGAGAAGCAAGTTTAAAATTTAATATGATTTTGAATGTGACATAATTGCATGTTTTCTTTTATGAAAGCAGGATTTGTTGCACATGCACAATAGCAAAACAAGTAACAAATAAAAACAACACCACCACCAATCTTGTCTTGATTAGAAAAAGCCTTACAGTGTGTCTACAATATTCAGGGAGAAAACTGCACAGGTCCATTTTGCTGTGAGAGCTATTATCATTGCTTTTTTTCCCTCAAAGTCTGGATGAGAGGCTGTTATATCACACAAGGCTGCAGGCTGCTGCTCAAGGACTTTCTGTCACAAAAAGAAACCTTTCACACAGAGTCCTGACTGCAACAGATTACGTGCAAAAAGGCATTTTTTTTCCCTTTCACACCGGTGAGCTGGAAGGTTACTGCAGCACCTACGATACAGAGGGGTGGATTCCATAATACAGCCAACACAATGCTGTGTGGTGAACTCTGTGTGACATTTGGGAAGGGGGGGGGGGGGGGGATCATCTTCATACAAGTTTTCTCCTGTAAAATTAGAAAAGGTTGCAGTAAAGACCAAAGTATTCATCTTACAGCTGCTGAATATTCCCTCTGTGTGGACTGTGCAGGCAGGCTGAACTCAGAAGTGAGCTTTGAAGGCTGTTCCTTTTATTTCACCCTTGCAATCAGCCGTGGCTTATGGGAGCCTTATGTAAGACCATTATTCTATAATACATCCGCTCTAATGAATACTGCAAATTAAATGCTTAGAAGCAAAGAGCTAATTAACAATGTGCTGCAAATTGGCTGTTTACTACGAAATATTGAGGAAGTACTGAGTTAAATAAACAGTCTGGATGGCTGCTTGAACACATATGAATCACAAACTGTTTTATTGAGAGCATGTGAGAAATCAGAAAGCTGTTACTGTCACTCTGATTTTGTGACAACCATTTTTGGGTATGAATAGTATGGTAGAAACTTATAGCCATAATAACTTGAGCCTTAGAAGTAGAAGCCACTGAATATCTTATTGTGAAATTCAGCCACGGATAATGTTGAAACTGAAACACCTCTGAATTGATTGCATTAAAATATTTTATTTTTAGTACAATCATTCAGAATTTAAGTGTTTTAATTGGTGTGGTTGTCCCCTAAGAATTTTCTTTTTTTTTTCAGTCATTCTGATAGAAATGTCCATATTCGAGAAACTAGATTTGATTTTGTCAAATTTTGAAATTTTTGAAATGGACCAATCTAATACGTGCAACCTGATTTTTTTCTTTTGCTTTTTTTTTTTTAAATATTAGACACTCCAATTTTCTACATGAAACCATCTACATTTTCAACCTTAAATCTTAAAATCAGGCTTCACCATTTTAGATGACCCTCTGAAAATTTCAAGGAGAATTCAGAACATATAAAGTCAGATGTTTTGCTATAAATGCTGTGTTAAAGTAGAAAATGACAAATTTTGCTTTAACATATGAACTGAATTTTGATTGCACAGTGTAATGGCTACAGAATAATTACATCATCCGCGTTTAGATTGGTTCCCTGTAAGTCTCGCTTTCACAATGCAGCTCTGAAAAGTTTCACCATTAAATTATTCAGTGGTGGTTAAACTTTATTCGCTTGCTTCAAAGATTCAAATCATTACGACTATTATTTTTTATGGTGCAGGAGATAGAGCAGGTCGTCTACTAACGGTCCACTGAGTGTGTGTGACTGTTTAAAACTGAGAAGCACGTGGCATCTTATATAGAAGCCTCAGCCACCAGTGTGTGAATAGGTGAATATGACATGTTGTGTAAAGGTGCTTTGAGTGGTTGGAGGACAATAAGATGTTATACACGTGCAGGTCCATCCATTGACCATCTTTGCTTCAAGGCTGTAAAAATGTCCGTCAGGTTATCCATGCAGGTAGTAACAGTTGATCCCATAGAAGTCATGTTTTCTCCCTGTGACGACATTGTCTCTCAGGTTCACAGCAGCACGTGTGATGGAGCTGTTAAAGTCATTATGGGCCTTTGACTTACTGAATGAATTTTGAAGGTCCCGGAGGCTGAGAGATGTGGCTTCCCCACCCACAGTCCCAACTCTGTCCACCGGGCAAATGCCAGGCAGGACAGGAGGCCTCGGCAGGATGCAGGGGTTACAGAGACTGTGTGGCAGCTCTCTGCTCTTTACCAGTTTCCCCTGCTCTGACGCTGCCCTTGATGATAACTCAGCATGAGATTCAATACCTGCCAGGTCTTTGGCGATGGATGACGGACTAATGCTAGATACATTTCTTCCAGCTTTAAAATATTCCTTTGTGCTGCTGGGTTCATCCTTTACACACAGGCTTTTCTCCCTGTTGACCTCCATCTCTCCCTGGGAAAGTGGGCGGTGGTTCAGGTCTAGAGGTCGCTCTGTGGCAGCGTTAGCCTCTTGGCTGCTGTATGACACTGATACTTGCATTGGACTTTCATAAAACTGGACTCTGCAGTTTTCCCTCTCCCTGCCCTCGTGCGCAGAGCTTTTGCTCTCAGTTTGTTGTTTGTGTAAGACCTCCTGGGACAGCTCAGCACTCTGTGCTTCTGTGGAGCCAGAGCTGTACTTTGATTGACTATGACCCCTTTGGTTTGGATCTGGTGCCTCATTAAGCTTAGCTGTGATCTCCTGTGGCCTGTGTTGGTTCATAGTAGCTGAAGCAGTGCCTTGGTTTGGAGCTGGAGATAGATTTGGGAGTTCAGTAGCAGCGGTACTGCAGGTGCTCCCCTGTCTTCTTCTACTTCCTCCTCTGGGTTTAGAGGGAACAAATACAGGAAAGGACCTTTCTCTCTGTCGGGAAAGGAATTCAATAGGATTAGTATTGCACACTGTTAATGCTTCTGTAAAAAGGTACAATGTTCCCAGATATTTTACCAGTGGTGCAGTGTGTGAATTCACCCCGGTGATGTCATTCAATTTTTCCTTGAAGTCGTCTATCTTAAGAGGATTTGCAGGCCCCGATCCTTAGAAATATCAAATACAGTATTATTGGTTATTGATCTAAAAATGATACATATTGTTACTGGATTACTTTACAAAGCGGCTGCACACACAGGCTTTCATCTTTACCAACAACAAAGTGTACTCTGTGTTCTTACACGCTCTTTTTCAGCTTCCTGCTAAGGGACTGAACAATAATATTTGGGGAGGAGAGGGGTGAGAGAAGAAGGAGAAGGCTGTCATTTTTCTTTTCGCTGAAAGAATGGTAGTCTAATTTTTTTGGGACAGCAGGGGATGGATTGTATTTCATTTCAGCCTTCCCTTGCAACAGGCACAGCTTCCATGTATGCCATAGTTCATAAAGGTTTGCTTTGCTATATGCAGAGAACAATAGTCCCATCTTTAAATGAAATATAAAGCCTCTTTAGTAGTTCCTGATAAAGTTTCTAATAATATAGTCCCCAATAAATTCAGGCACAGCTAGTTCATTCAGAAACATTTCCGTCTTGCACCTTTTCACACATGCCATGGCAATGGTGGAATAGATGGGGCAAGGGACAGTTGGGCAAATGACGGTAAAGCAAAACTTACAGATGCCAACCGCTATGAAACGTAAGGGAAGAAGCCAGGGCAAGACTAATGTATGCATACACACAACATGACAGGTGAGGAGCTGTTTTTGTAATGTGTGTAATAATTAACAAGTTTGCAAGATAAGTAATGTTTTAAATGCTAGACCGTAAACAAGTCATAGATTCAAATACGTCATCAGCAGTGTCTTGTGATTGTCTTTCTTCAGACAGATGTAACCCTTTACATGCTCGTCCCTACAATGTTACCACTTACAATCACAACCTGAAATGGTGTAGACATTACCATTAATTAAAAGAGGAGCAGTATGTCATGTCTGAATCATTTGTACTGGACATTAAACAGATGTTACTCCGTGAACGAGTGGGTACGTTGATGACGTTTCTGTGAAGGAGTGGGTGTGTGTTTTGCTTGCATAAAACCAGAAGGAAACAAACATGTAAGGGTGACGAAGAAGGGTCATTTACACAAAGACTCCAATGATAATGTCTAACTGGAGAGATGATGAGATTTGGAAACTCATCATGTCCTGCCTTCTGCACAATTTGCTCAGGCACTGTTTTGGAATTCGTGTGAGAAAATGGCTTATGTCTTGAGGTAGGAAATTGAGGGTACAGATTTCCCTGAATATCCCCTGTTCCCATTCACACATGACCACACGCATGACCACATTTCCTGCATGTGGTCATGTGTGACCACATTTCCTGCATGTGGTCACACATGACCACATGCAGGAAATGTTCCTGAACATTTCAGGGATAGACTGTGTCTATAAAAGGTGCTCAGGCCCACTGCCCACCCTGGTAACTTTTGTACAGTCCCTAACATATTAGCATACGTTTAGGCTGCTTTACCTGTGTGGTGCATTTGGTAGGAGGTGACCCAGTGTGTCCTTTCCAAATTTTTCAGCATGTTGCTCGTCCGCTCAGACAACGATAAATCCCAGTCACGAAGTTTAGGGTTGGGCTGCACTGTCTTTGGAGGAGTGGGGTAGAAGACCTGGGTGTGTCCCTTCAGTGGCTTTGTATGCTTGAGAAAGAACATTGGTGCATTTAGAAAAGGATCAGAGCAATTATTAGTGACAATGTGAAGCCAAATACAGTATTTCACCACTCACATCAAAGAAGCCGTGTTCTCCAGGCCACATAACAGCTTTCTTCCTGGTTTTCATGGGTGTCCTCAAGACCTCGTGTCTGTATGGGCTGCCTGCACATGAAGACAAATATAAATCTCTCTGGAAACCTTTATTATAACATCACCTTTCACCACAACATGTTGCCCTCCTACCTATAGTTTTGCTCAGCAGAGTGACGTCCGGTGCGCTATTTGGGACGAGGGGGTGGAGGAAGGTTTGGGAAGCAGCTCTGACTCCTGTGTCGGGGTCATCTGGAGGGTGGAAGGATGGGAACATTGCAAACTTGGAGATGTGGGACGAATAGGGATGCTCTTTTAGAGTGGCAATCTTTATCATTTTCTCCCTGTTAGAGGTACCAGGAAATTAAATAAAAATGAATTGTATTTTGGGACACAAGAAGCCTTAAATGCAAGAGGGGAAATAAATCAGTCTAACAATCAGAAAGTACTCACGCTATATTTATATCATTTGGTTTTGGTATGCTGAGAAAAGAAACAAAATTAATGTCATCATTCATGTTAATGATGACTATTTTTATGATTATCAATGGCTACTCACAGCTGGTCACTGAGACGAACTTTGCTTTTACTTCTGCCAGTGTTGTTGTAACGCTGTTGACTGGTGACGTGTCTGTAAAGGCAAAACAACAATTCATAAAAAGGCCAAATGTGGTGCATTAAATATTTAATTTCTATGCAGATTTTTTTTTTTACACTCACTCAGATGTGATGGCTCCTCCATAACCAGAGTGATAATAGCCGTTTATATGAGGCGGCACACTGTCGTTCAGTGAGGACATGGGCTCCATCTGACTGCTGGAACAGAGGAGGGTGAAGGCAGGATGAAACTCTAGGGAGGGAGAGTTAAATGAGGCCAAATCTGTGCTGAAACCTTATCTGGTTTTTTTTTGAGTTTCATGAGTTTTAATTCACAGTATTGTATCATGTCTGTTTAGCTTGCTTGCCTGGTAACTGAAATATTTCACAATACCAGTCAGTGGGAGAAGAGATGTTTCCACCAGTATTTAGTCCCTAAATGCAGAGCCGGAACTACATATTAAGTCATATCAGTTGCTTAGGGCCCCCTGAGGGGTGTACCAAGAAGTGATATAGGAGGTTAGTGAGGTATGTTGAGTCTGAAGCCACAGTTCTCCATCCTATGAAGGTGGCTTCCTTTTCACTTGGCTATTGCCATGGTAACTTATGCTACAGATTTAACCTGGTCAGAACCAATTTTTTGTTCTGAGTTTCAGCTTGAAATCGACTAAAAAGCACTTTTCAGGGCTCCTTTGAGTACTGTCACCGTCTTCAATGTCTATGAGTGATACAGATTCTCAGCTGAAAAAATTGATTTCGATGTATCATTCATTATGAGACAGTGTCAGACCTAAATGCAGTTAGTTAGGTAGTTTACAGTATATAGCATATTTGCTATAGCATACAACTTTGAATATTTGTTTCAAAAAACTGATTTAACTGTTACCAAAAGATATGACAATGTGATACAGCAATAATCACAAAACACATTGTCATGTTCACTTACCTGGGCAGTGGTTAAGAGTAATCAGTGGAATAGATTTAATATTTATGAATGGCAGAAAAATGGAAGAAGTCTGTTTTATTCTCCCGGTGCAGATATGGGAAGCAGTCGTCTTAGTCCAGATGGAAAAAAGTGGAAACGCTGGAGTGTTCTTTGACAGGACAGGGCTCCCTCGTCTTCACTTGTGACCAGTGAGGTGGGTTTGGATTCCTGGGACAGCCAGAGTGATGGTGTTACAATGAACAATAGGATCAGAGTGAGTGACATCCAATCCAGCCCACAGCACAGAGTGTGTGAGCAGAGGTGTGGTTTAAAAAGCTTTTCTAAGACAGACTGAAACAACATCACACATTTTGTTTGCTAGGACCTGAGAAAACAAAACAAAACTGTAACCTTTTGAAATTAATGTTTGTGCCTGTCGTACTGCCCGGCTTACAGCTGTAACAAAAGTGTGGTCAAGATGTGCTGATGTTCTATATTACGTCAATATTTTTATATCCGCTGGGCAATCACTGCTCAGGATGCCCATCATCCACTCATCAATGATGACTGGATGATATTACACATCCACAGTTTGGTGAACTCATACAACTAAGCATGGGATGGAATGGAAATCAAGCCGGGTCCGCTTCAGAACACGCTGACACCAGATACAAGCTGTGTGCAGTGTGTGGTGTTTGGTTACAGGAGTCGTGTTTCATTGTCTCCATTCCTATGCAACATAGAAATAGTTATACATTCAGACTCTGTGTCTCTGACAAAGCCACAAAACGGGTTCAAAGAAAGTCTCAGGAACAATCTAGAAGATAATTTCAGTCTGAGGATCATCCTGATCTCATGTTGATTTTGACATTATGTGCTCATTTTATAGACCATCTTCCTCCAGGATTTAGTGGACAGCTAGCCGTGCGCTGTCCGTAGTGCTGTTACTCTGCCATGACTGAGCAGGAATAGAGCTAACTTATCACTCTGGACCACACATAAAACTCTGGTGAAGGTAAAAATAAAAATGATAGTGTGTCAAGAGAGTTCCTAAAACTTCTTATTAGAGGATTTGTATTAATCCTCAAACTCCATTTGAGATTTTGTCCCAATTAAGGAACCTCACTGTGTCAGTCCCCACTGAATGAAATAATAGTGAAGCAAAATAATCCCTAATTTTACTAAGAGATCCCAGAAAGCCTGATGGTCTCTTGCCCACATTTTTGGGATCGACTCAAGCCTCACATGCTTTATAGTGATATGAAAACAACATTGCTGGCACTTAGGGGCGGCCAGTATACCAATATCAAGTATGAGTGTTGTCTTTTGGTTTAAAAGGCTGCATAACAGTAAAATGATGAATGTTTTTGGACTTACCAACTGTTCTAGCTGCTCTATTATTGCCTTTACCCATTTGTCAAAAATCTCACTGTGTAAATATGTTGTGAAAGCAGCAATAGTCAAATCTAAAACATTGATACTGAAATATTTAGTAAAAAATATTGTGATAATTGATTGTATTTTGGTATAGCAGTAAATAAACACAAGTAAATATGCAGCAAACAAATTTTAAAAAATCCTTCAAAAACATTAAAACTCAGCAAATCTACTTCATCAGGACTGTGTGGGGGTAATCTGATCAGACTGTATCCAGAAAGCAATCAGCTGTCATTAGATTGTGATTTAAATGTAGCTAAATCCCGATTGGTGTACAGAGATGTGTGACATCACCATTTCCTAACTGAGCCTGTAACAAACTGCACAGACAGAGACATCGAAATCTCTCATGTGACATACCCAAAACTTTAGCAAGAAATAGTGTGTTCATGTGGGATCCCATTACTCATAGTGAGAAGCTGATTAAAAAAAACCTGAGTCTAAACACCAGTTTTTACAAAACAGGGAAGACTTACAATAAAATCAATGCAGCTGCCTCTCTTTGGACACGACTGCTTTTCAAGCAGCAATGTTTGCCTTGTTTGTTGGCTTTAGACCCATATTCTGCATTGTGCTTTTTAATTGGGATTCCCCAAAGACCTTGTCCAAAGTCTCAGCAAAAACACCCAGGACCCATCAAGCAGCCTAAGCTAAGTCCAGTAACCAATTACCCTGCTCTGCCCCAGCGGAGCAGCCGTCCTCCGGATTACATTCCCTGCTGCTGCATTATAAATGTGCCCCGGCCTGCAGTGATTTCCCTATAATATTAACTTATTGTGCACATGCAGGTTGATGCTTAACCCCTACAGAGTTGTTCACGTTAACAGAAGTCCAGCTTAATCTGTAGTTCTTATAATTACCTCATCAATAACCTCTGAAGCACTGATGAATTAATCCACCTCTCTCTGAGGGAAACACGTGACATTGGTTATTTTTTCCAGTCATGTTGCAAATTGCCATCTTAAAGTGGAATTGGACAACTTTTCCAACGACACGACACACTGCATTTTTCCACTTTAACCCCATGGGTCAAAAAACCTGGTAGAGACTCAAAAGCTTTGGGTCCAAAGTGACCCCTGAAACCAGCCAGTCCTCCCAAACCACTACCTGGCCCCAGTTTGCTCTGTATCAGGGGCGTAACACAGAATTCTGGGTCCTACTATGCATACGATCTCTCCCTTTGGACCCCTGCCCTTCCTGTCTTGATCCATGTCTCCCTCATGCACCTAGATTTTTTTTTCTTTTACAAATGAGTTTGCTTTTCTTTCTTTCTTTTCTTTTATGTAACTCCAGATTTCTCTTTCTTAGGGAAAGATGTAAAAGTATATGTTGGTGCTCCAGCAGCATAAGTGATCACTCACTTGGCTTTAGAGACAAATCCTAGTGCAGGGGCGGACTAAATCATTAAGGGGTGAGAGGGGCCTGAGAGAGCATCCACTATTTTATGTAGAAAGTTCAGTCTTTATTTATTCAGCCAATTTCAATTAAGTTATGGCTCTAATTATTTAGAAATAAAAAACTGCAAACAAAACCATCCATTTTATTTTGCACTTTTCGCGGGCTGCATCAGTCCCACTTTTGCCCCACTACAATGCCCCTGCTTTGTTTCAGTTAGTTTTTGATGAATAATTTAGGAATATTCACCATAAAACACTCCAAACTGAAAAATCAAAAATAAAATTTTGATACAGGGCCTGGGCAGCAAATCTATACTGAAAACTGTTTGTTTCATCGGTGTGCTCCAAAATGCACCACATATGAGTGTGCTCTGATCTGCCACCTACATGGTTGAGGTTTGTTTTTTGGGGGATTTTGGGCAACTAAAACCACTTGGTTAAGGTTGGGGAAAGATGCCCATGGTTAAAAGACACTAACACTGACTCCTGCAGTGGTCTATAGTGTCAAGGTCAGACTCTTTGTATGCCCAGCCATCCACAAACATCCTACCTGAAGGTCAGGGCCCCTAGGCAGTTGCATGCATCGCCCAGTTGGTAAAAAACACACATTTTACAACCACAGACGTAGTGTGTGGGTGTTTTTATTTGTGTGTGTTGTTTAAATTAACATATTTTCTTTGTAGTCTCTCTGTCAAACAGGCACATTACTCCTATAGCACACATACTGTCTTGCCTGCACGTTTCAAATATAAATTGGTACTGGGCTTTGATTGGAGCCTTGCACACAGTATCTCTGGCGGTATGGAATAAAGAGAGCAGCCTGCCCTGCAGGTTTTTTTTTTTTTTTTTTACAGTTTCTAAGGAGAATATATAGGCGCTGTGTTTTTCTACACCTCTGCATAGTATTTCACAGGGATCCCTAGAGGCACAGCTCAATCTGGACTTGACTGACAGCTGTAGCGCCTCTCAGGCGTCATCGATCAGGTCTGAAATAAACTGAATCTGTTTGACTACTTTTGCTCAGTACTTCAAGGAAGAACACGGTGGACTGACTCATAAGGGGGGGGGGGCGAATGAATAATGTTTTGAGGACATCACTTCTCAGAGAAGCTCTGCTGCTGCCGCATCACCCACTCGTCTAACTCTTGGTCTATTTCATTTGAGTGTCTCAATTGGTCCCCACAGCAGGTTTCACCATGACAACGTTTGACTTCTCGGATATAGAGGCGTTTTTGGACTGCCACCCAGATCTCTTCGAGGAGTACTTGGTTCGGAAGGCGAAATGTGAGCAAGTTAGCAGATGGCTGAAGGAGCATCCGCCGTCTAAAGTGCCCACAGCGGAGGAGAAGCGCGGCGCTGCCAGGGACCCACTCTGGCCGACCAACCCAGACGGGCTCCGGCGCAGATCGTCCCACATGGAGCTGCGACGCAACTTCGCCCGGTCCAAAGCCACCACCACACACCGGACCTACGACGAGCATGTGAGCCTGATCGAACACGAGTCCCAGTCCAGCATGAGGCGCCGTGCGCTCCTGCGTAAAGCCAGCTCCCTTCCTCCTACCACCGCGCACATCCTGAGTGCCCTTCTGGAGTCCAGGGTCAACGTGCCCCAGTACGCCTCCAGCGCCATCGACTACAAATACAGACTCAAGGAAACCAACGAGAGGGAGTTTTTCTTGGAGTTGGTGAAGGATATCTCTAACGACTTGGACCTGACAAACCTCAGCTATAAGATCCTGATCAATGTGTGTATCCTGGTGGATGCGGACAGGTGTTCTCTTTTCCTTGTGGAGGGACCCGCGCACAAGAGGACACTGGTGTCCAAATTCTTTGATGTGCACTCAGGCACCACTGTCAGACCATCATCCAGCACCCTAAACTCCAATGAAGTGCAGGTGCCATGGGGAAAGGGTATCATTGGATATGTGGCAGAGCATGGAGAAACTGTAAACATCCCAAACGCATATGAGGTAAATGTGAGCCTTATGATAAATACACATTATTCAAATTAATGCAGACATATTTACAGTGAGTGAAGCAATTCATTAATGATGAGTAACTGGTGTGAAGATCAGACTTTTTTTATCATTGGGAAGAAACATGATACAAACAGTGATGTCTCTTTGGTCACATTCTTACATTAAATGTCAATTTTAATCAGTTGTTTTTGTAATTAAACTCTGTGAAATGAGCAAATAGTCACCCAGCTAAATGGAGAAAGACTTTGGGTTATTACCTCAGTTATGTCAGAATAATAAGAATACACTCTTTCTATAATAGTAAAAGAAAAAGGCAGGAAAGCAAGTGTTATAATTCTTCCCACAAGCCAGATCTGGTCGTATACGCTACCAGTTGCGCTCCACATCATTATATCATGGCCCTGGGCTGCATGGGAGGCTAAGGGAACACGATGATGCGGATCCCCCTGAGGTCTATTACTGCAATAGTGTAGATATGTGTCAGGGGTATTAGATTTTTTCCTGCTTATAGTAAAAACAAGAGGCCTCCTGCAGAGCAGTGAATTTAAATAGCCAAACAATACCTGACACAAGCGCACAAACCATAAATATTTGAAGCAATGTAGTCGCACAGGACCACAGTGTTAAGTGTGCTGACATTTACTGAGCACAATGAAGTGTGTGTGTGTATTAATGTAGGATTGTGCATGTTTGATATATGTGTAATACTGTATGTGTTTATGTGACCACTATTCCAGGACCACCGCTTCAGTGATGAGATAGACAAGTTAACAGGCTACAAGACTCAGTCCATCCTCTGTATGGCCATCTGTAACAGTGATGGAGAGGTCATAGGTGTTGTACAAGCAATCAACAAAAATCCCATGGGCACTCCTTTCACTGAGGACGATGAGAAGGTGAGCTTCTGTTATGTCCCAGCTCAGGGATTTTCACATTCACATGCATTTTATTGGCTATTTTACATCCTTGGTATTATTGCAGTTGGTTTGACCATTAAGGGTATTTTAGAGATGCAGTTAAAATTGGTTTCTTCAGCATTGTGTACCCCACCACTACACACACACACACACATTAACACTTATTGCACAGTAGCTCTTGAGCCATGCAGCTGAAAACACTGTTTGTACTGTGAATCTTCTTAATGGCTGTGGAGAGGGCCAAAGTGTTCCCTCGGAAGCAAAACACCAGAGAAATGAAGGGAGGTGGTCAAAGTCTTACTCAAGTGTGGAGCATTAAATATGTCTAGCTATGCAATATAGGAAACACATTTTGAGTGGAATCACTTTCAGTTGCTCCCCGAGCAATCCACTCAGGATGGGTTTACTACAATCTGCATGTATTGGCTTTTTTCATTTTCACAGTTTCACAGCTTATGAATACAGTTTCATTCTCCCATTGCTGATGAGAAAATAATATCTCGTACTAGAGTGTGTAGCCAGGCAATAAAAAAGTAATGGTACTCGTTTGACTCACTCTGGGTTAATACATTGAAGGGACAGAGAGATGCTGGTGCAGTTTGTGTTTATTCACCTTTGCAAGAGTTTAGCTGCACCGAGATGCAACGGTATGTCCACAAGGTGGCAGAATAAAGTTGTGGAAAACCATGGCCTCCACTCTAAAGAAATCAAAGTTTTGAGTTTGCGGTAATTCAGACTTATTGTAATGATTTTGCTGTGCTGCATGTAAATAAACACTTAAACTCTAAACAAAGCAAAATAAAACAACTTCAGTAACTGCTTTTGAGCAACAAAGACACTTAAAAAAGAGAAAAAAAAACCTCATCTTGATCGGCTGTCTTATCTAGATATTTAAGGGTCCTTGATGTCTCACTAAATGCCTTCTTTCTCTAAATCAATACTTCATTAACAGGGGATCTATTTGAGAGACGTTTGTGCAGAGAAGCAGCTAACACCATCATGATTTTCTACCCCTCTCCCACTCACTTATTCTTCTTCTCTTACCCAGTTTTATGCCTCTTTGTTTAGCATACAAATAGCTAACATTATTATTGATTATGCATGCCTTTCACCACTGTTTTGGTACTTTTACTCAGGTACTGCAGATGTATCTACCATTCTGTGGAATATCGATTTCCAATGCCAAGCTGTTTTCGGAGTCTCGCAAGGAGTATGAAAGGAGTCGGGTAATTTAAAATGTGCATTTTCAAAAAGATGTTTGGTTGTTTTATAGCAACTGGAGAATCAACAGTAAAATCAAAATATTTATACCTAATTTAAAAAAAAATACATGTGTCATCACTGTGCAGCACATGAGTTATTAGTGCCCTTTGTCGTGGCCACAGGCTCTGCTGGAGGTGGTGAACGACCTATTTGAGGAGCAGACTGACCTGGAAAAGATTGTCAGGAAGATCATGCAGCGAGCGCTGACCCTGCTGCAGTGTGAACGCTGCTCTGTGCTTCTCCTGGAAGACAGCGACTCACCTGTGAGACCCAGCTTTTTATTCGTTCCTGCCTCACAAATTCATTTACTTGAGCTTTTTCATTAAACCACATAGATTCTTATGTTTAAAACTCACCTATCCTTGTGTGAAATGTTCTTGGTGCTGGTTGTGATGAAACTCTTGTACAGGTTGTGAAGTTCTCCAAGACGTTTGAGCTCATGTCTCCCTTGTGCAACATGGACCGTGACATCAGGTGAAAGAGAAATCATGAACATGACAGATTTATATTAACTTTGGGGGCGATACTTTAAGTCAAATCAGCAACACACACCATATATGGATACATATAGATGCGATTTGCATTTATAAAACTCCATAACACAAAACTACTAAGAACTACTGCTGTTCTGTAGCACATTTAAGTGCCTGGACCTGACTATTGTTTCCTGTTTGTTATTGCCACATCAGCATGGAGAAGCTATCGTGTTCCGATTGGCTGATCAATAACAGCATTGCTGAGCTGGTGGCTTCCACAGGACTGCCGGTTAACATCAGTGATGTGTGTCAGGACCCACGCTTTGATGCTGAGGTGTGGACTCAATAGTCTCCCCTTAAGACCTATCAGAGCACACACTAATGCACATACAGTACGAGCTTGTGACTGCAGCAAGACACAGACACACACCACAACCCTAACAAATACAAAGGCATGTGTTATGTTTCATTAATTACCTGGTCAAGGAACAAAAAAGTGGACCCACTATAGATTTTTCAATCATGCATTGTCACCGTCTCCTCTCTTCACAGGCCGACCAGGCCTCAGGGTTTCACATCAGATCAGTGTTGTGTGTCCCTATCTGGAATAGAACTCATCAGATAATTGGTAAGTTGACCATAAATAATCAATGTGTGCACACTTGGAAACCCGTTTTTCTGTTACAGTCAATGATGTGTGTGTGTGTGTGTGTGTGTGTGTGTGTGTGGGTGTGGGTGTGGGTGTGTGTGTGTGTGTGTGTTTTCTGCAGGGGTCGCACAAATTCTGAATCGCCTAGACAGGAAGACATTCAATGATGCGGATCAGAGACTGTTTGAGGTCAGATTTCTATCAGCTGTTACATCAAAACTTTAAAGGTCCAGTGTGCAGAATTTAGGGGCATTTATTGAAAGAAATTGTATATGATATTCATAAATATGTTTTTATTTATTTATAATAACCTGAAAATAACAGTTGTGTTTTCGTTACCTTAGAATGAGCGGTTTATATCGATATACAAAGTGGGTCCTCTCCAGGACCCCAGGAAGTGCACTGGAATTGAAGCCAATTTGACATAGTTGCCAATCACATGATGCCCAAATATACTTTTTCATGTAGACTTATTGGAAAATAGGCATCTGTAAATAAGTGGATACATTTTTTTGAGTATCACAACCCCAGTAAAATGACTCTTTCACTATCAGGATTTGATTCATTCACTCTGATAACATTTTGAAAATCTAGAAGAGCTGCACAATTAAATCGTTTTATCCCTATACAAGGTAGTGACAGGCTAAATTGAAAGTAGCAGGCACGCTCACTTCAGTCTCTCGTGCACTTGCTCTGTGGGCCCAGTGATGGGGACGTCAAATTTTTGGCTTCATGCACCACTGAGCAACTTTCATAGGAATGAACAGGGCCTCACCTCCAATAATATATCCACTTCTTTTCTCTCTATACATCCATTGTCCTCTTTCATGGAGTCCACCATGTTGCTCTGCAGTAGCCTAGAACGGACAAATCAAACACTGGCTCTAGATGGGGCTGTTCACATTTTCACTTTGGTCAATGTAGTTCTGCTACCTACTTGATACATGAGATGCCATTAAAGCCTACACACAAGACCTTTAGGTGTTCATTAATGCATCGGATACACATTGCACCAAATTTTTAAGGTTCAGTTTATTTTTCTTTGTGTGCAGGCTTTTGTGATATTCTGTGGACTTGGAATCAACAACACTATGATGTACAACCAAGTGAAGAAGACGTGGGCCAAGCAGTCTGTCGCGCTGGATGTAAGCACTGCAACATACTGATATATAGTTTTTTAGCCATCACCTCGCAATTTGGAGAATAGAAGATATTTATATAGATTTGTTTTGTATGTATGACTCTTCTTAGTGTTTTTTCCCCTTCTCTTTTCCCGCCATTACTTTTAAATGTGACACATTGATATTACAAAAATAATACAGAGGTAAAATTACAGAGATATTACAGAAATACATCATCCACTTGCTACTAGTCCTTTCAAAGCACTTGACAGGCTTATGAATGCATTACAGTACAGTATTTCATCTGTAATGCATTAAAACATGCTTTAAATAGGCTGTATCTATGAAAAATTTACATCTTTATATATTCAATAAAAAAAACAATATGCACTTATTTACATATGCTCAATGAAGTTTTACAGTCACTGAGACTATACAAGCTGTGCTTTGAAGTGGACCAGCAATGATGATACACCACAAGATGGATTTTCATCGATGGATATATTTAAAATACTAGGTAGGCCTGTCTGTTCTGTACAACTAAAATTAATTAAAACAATCTAAATTACTCTAAAGTAAAAAAAACATATTTTGTTACACCCTTTAAATGGATTTAAAAGTGATTGTGTGAGAAAATAATAATAGAGGAAAGTGGTGTCACTGATTAATGTTAATCTTGACGGAGGACTATCCATTCATTAGTGTCTTTCAGTGTTCTGCTCCGATGCCCTGTATCTAACCTGAGCAGTCACATTATCCTCGGCAAACATGGTTCTGCCTCCCTACCATAAATATTTCAGCTGCTTTCAATAATTCACGATAAATACATGTGCCAGTCTGCTCACCTCTCATCAAAGGCAACACACACTCTCCTGTATTTCTGCCACACAATCTTTGCTGTTTCTTTAAACACCTGCTGGATTTCCTTCTCTGTCAGAAGACCCAAAGCACGGCAACAAATTGGTTTTAAAAGCAGAGATGTACTTTCTTTGATCCGGCTTATGTAACAAGAGAAGTAGGAAAGATAGATAACATTCTGGGAACATATTGATTATCTTCTGCAGCATTGAGTGTCTCGTTCAGAGTTGGTCCAAGGTAAATTTAGTACATTTACCTCATTAATGTCAGTATTCAATAACTATTATGTTTTGTTTTTTTCAGATGTTGTCCTACCACGCTACCTGTTCCAAGGTAGAAGTTGACAGACTCAAGGTAATCTCAGAGAAAACAGCATTCATATATGCACAATAACAATATACTAACTTTATAAAATGTATTAAATCTGATAAGTGTGAGTGGTTGAAGGTGAAGTGTAATTTAAAAAGTGTCTCCCAATGTGTTTTAGTGCTTTTCTTCTTCCCTTGCTGGCACTGTATGATTGACAGCTCTGTCCTGTGTCCCCCTTAGGCAGCTAAGATCCCCCTGAGCAGTGAGTTAGGCATCGATGAGTTTCACTTCAACGACTTCTCTTTGGACAATGACGCCATGATCACCGCATCACTCCGGATGTTTCTGGAACTCGGTGTTGTCCAAAAGTTTAAAATTGACTACGAGGTTGGGTTATGAGGAATATGTGCCGCTGTGATAGGTTTGTCAGGGTCAACAGTGTCCATGTCATCTTTATCACCTGTATGTTTGTCTTCTTATAGGTTCTGTGCCGCTGGCTTTTGACTGTGAGGAAGAACTATCGAACTGTGGCGTATCACAACTGGAGGCATGCCTTCAATGTGTCGCAGTGCATGTTTGTTATGATCACAGTAAGTTTCAAGATCTCCAGCTTTTCTCATGCCAGAGTCTTGTGTTGCATGTTCCCTTCCTGCAGTCCCTCTCCGTGTTTACTTTCGATCCACAGCAAATGCAATTGACACCAAAACAAACCATCCATGATTAGACCTTTGAGGATAACAAGTTGTTGAGGTTATTTTTAAAGCCTGTCATGAGAAAAATAAGTCTCAGTGGACTTAGTAAGCTAATCAACAACCAGTCACTAAACAAAACATAATTAGGAGGAAACATCACAGGAGAAACATCATTAAGAGAAAATTTAAAAGGAGGAACATTTGGGTTAAGTTGATATCCTATCATAACTAGTGTTGTCACGATACCAAAATCTTTGTTTCGGTACCAATACCAATATGAATTTCGATACTTTGATACTCTTCGGTACTCTTCCTAAGGAAAAGTCCTTTTGGATACAAACCTTTAGAACAATAAATAGTAGGGGTGTAACGGCACTAAAAAAAATCATGGTTCGGTAAGTACCTCGGTACGGACATCACGGTTTGGTAACTCAAATGTTCCACCAAGTTTATGTTGTCTTGTGTTGTCTCGTGTTGTCTCCCTTTGCGATTCAGACTTTCTCTTGCCTTTTTTCACGTGCGCCAGCTGCGAATGTTGATACAGGTGTTGTGATACACACCACTTGCGCAATCTGTGCTCCAATAGGAACAAGAAAGGCGTTTGTGTGCATAAATGAGTAAAATAAATTAACTAAATTAATGAATTGAATCAGTTTCAAAGTACCGGTATTTTCCAAATGCAGTATAGTACCGTTTAGAATACTCTAGTACCGTTTGGAATACTCTAGTACCGCGGTACTATTTTAGTACCGGTATACCGTGCAACACTAATCATAACCCATCTCATCCAATCCTATACTATTAAATGGCAACAGCTAATGCAGTATAAACTAGAAAGGTGCTTTCAGGGGTGCCCACTAGCTCACCCAGTAGAGCAGGTGGCCCATGTGCAAAGGCTGGGTCCTCGCCACAGCAGCTATGGATTTGATTCCAACCCACGGCCCTTTGCTACATGTCATTCCCCTTCTCTCACTCCACCTTTCATGCTATAGCTGTCGTATCAAATAAAGGCAAAAAGCCCCCAAAAATATATTCTTAAAAAAGGAAAGTGCTTTTAGTATGGTGCAGATCTCAGCCAGGTGGCTGCATCACAGCTGTAACGCGGCCGTCTGGCGAAGCTTATAGTGGCCACTTTAGATAATGCATGCGGGCAGCTGCAACATGTATAAAGAGAACTGGGTATAGCATTGAAGATGGAGCCCCGTTCAATCCTATGACAGTTGCTCAGTGGTGCATGAAGCAAAAAAAGTTCAGCTTCCCAGAAATTACCTGAATCTTATGCATTGTTGGGCCCATAGAGCAAGCACACAAGAGACTTTCACTGGCTGAGTGGCTTAGCCATGCACTATCTTGATTTGCTCTAGACTTTAAAAATGTTATCGGAAGGAATGGATCAAATTCTAATAGTGAAACAAATCATTTTGTAAAGGTTGTGACGCTCAAAAAAATGTATCCACTTATTTACAGACGTCTCTTTCACAATGTAAGTCTATGTGAAAAAGTCTTTTTGGGCCCATTTGCGTCATGCGACAGGTGTTGTAATTCCATAGTTTGGCCACGATTTCAAATTGGCTTCAAAGCCCAGGGCTGTTCCTGGTGAACTTGAGCTACACCTAGTGGACAAAGGCAAAATTTGGCCTGCAACAGATAAGATGCAACAGTAAGGCTCCTTGTTAGTCGAGATGATGCCCTTTACTCAGTGCTTTAGCTATGTGATTTTGTTGATGTCTTGCGGTCTCTACTGTCCATTTAGGAGGAGTGAAGAGTCAGCAGTTAATGACGTTATAAAACAGTGAATAAAACAGGTTTTTCAACAATTGTGACTCTCTGCAACCACAAGAGGTCCTGGAGCATACAGTCATAAAATGTGCACACAAAAATGTTAGGCTGATGGGTCCAGTAGTTTGAGAGATTAGTTGTAGAGAGATACATGCACATGACCAAAACACATGATCCCCTCCAGACTTACACCTGGTAAAGATAGTAAAAATGAAGACAATAAATAGAGAATTCTGTGGTTGACTTTTAAGTGGATGGGTATGAATATGCCTATCTGCTTTACCTTTTATCTGCTTTACTTCCGGCAGACAGCCAGTTTCCAGGATGTCCTGTCAGAGGCTGAGATACTGGCACTGATGGTTGGCTGCCTGTGCCACGACTTGGACCACAGAGGCACCAACAACGCATTTCAAGCCAAGTGAGTGACACAGGCCTAAAAACAGTATGATGACAGTATGGTGTTTTATAGGGGACTTAAAGTTTCACTGCCCTGTTTTCCCTGCAGGACAGGTTCTGCTCTGGCTCTGCTGTACGGGACGTCAGCCACCCTGGAGCATCATCACTTCAACCATGCGGTCATGATCCTACAAAGTGAGGTCAGGCCAGTATTTCTCAAGTCAGAGGTTTGCTGTAGTAGCTGTGTACTGGGTTATGTAACTATTTTTCTTTTTGTGGTCTTGTTAGTTTGCTTTCCTTGACCAGGGAGCTAACTTGAAGTGATATAACATATTGCAAACATGTACTTCTTAATGAGATTTTAATGGTAACCAGGAATAGTCAATAATTTAGATCCTTTTCATTAACACAAGCATCAAATACAATGTTGCTTGTAACAAATAGTGCCAGTTTCACATGGTGTTATTTGGTGTTTATTCTCTTAACCATACCGTACATACCACAACCTAGAACGTCTGTCCTAGATGGGTCAAATACACCAAACTCAAAGAGAAAACATACAAAAACCACAAATTCTGCATCATTAAAAATACCATAAAACACCAAATAAAGGCACCTAATCGTCAATGACTACATGTCTTATTTGGAAACTGTTTCAAGACTGTCTTAGAGCGCGGGGCAACCAAAGAGCCACTGGTGCACAGTTTTAGCTTTGGAGCAGTGCTGGTAGGCGGCAGCAGTGACCACTAGTGACATTATGAGGCTGCTTTGATCCGTTTGATCATCAGGAACTGTGTTCTCTATTGATTTCTTTTAACAGAGGACAGAGAAAGTCTATACCCGTTGCTAATTAACTTTGATTATGAGAGCTACATTTGACAGTGAGCGATGACTTTACCAATACATTGGCTGTACAGAGACATTTTAGCCACTATTACTCATCCTCATCTGCTTTTGTGTATGCGCCTACTGCATGCTATTGTATTTTTCCTTCTCACAGGGTCACAATATCTTTGCAAACCTCTGCTCTGAAGAGTACAGCAACATGATGCAACTATTGAAGCAGGCTATTCTCTCCACAGACCTTACTTTGCACTTTGAGTAAGTGGTCTTTTAAATGGATTCAGAGCTGAAGTAGTTCACGACTGATCAAAAATAAAACTGAAATAGATTACAGGTTATTGGATAAATCCTTGTTATCAAAAGAATCACATTTTGATTTGTGTTATTTACAGTGTACTGCTGTGGTAAAAACTGTCTTTGATTGTGTTCTTTTGCCTTTTCATATTTTCTGTATCCTTGACTGTCTCTTTGTAAGGCGCAGAACCAAGTTCTTTGAGTGTGTTCTGTCTGGAGAATTCAGCTGGACAGATGAAGGTCACAGAGAAGTTCTCAGGTTTCTAAGTAACACTTTCCTGTGTCAAAATCACTAACTGCAAAGAGCAAAATCAGTAGCTAGAAATGAGCTTTGATGTCATTAACAGGTCCATGCTGATGACAGGATGTGATCTGGGTGCAGTTACTCGTCCTTGGAAGATATCCAAACAGGTTTGAGTCCCTATCACAAAGTTTCTCATCTGTGCTAAGGCTGCATGATATAGGAAGGTATGAGTGTACTCTGTGAAGTGTTCGTGTTGCTTTATACTGCTAAAAATACAACAAGTTCTTTGTTTAATTTAAAAAAAAAAAAAAAATGAAAGTAAGGTACCCTTTAGCTCACCTGGTTGAGTGGGTGCCCCATGGCTGTGTCCTTGCCGCAGCAGCTGCAGGTTCAATTCCAACTCCAGCCTTTTCCTGCAAGTCGTTTTCTCTCTCTCCCCCCATTTCAGACTAGACTTTTCTATCTAAAAAAAAAAAAAAGAAAGGACTATTTCATACCTTTAACTGAACATAAAAGGAATCAATAAAAATGAATCATAGTTAGATTTTACAATACAGTCTTCTACTCTTTCAGCCAGCTCACAAAATGTGGCAGTTTTCACAATGTGTTTATTGCACAAGTTGATATTGTGATGACAATTAAAGACAGCCCTGTCTCTTAGAAATTACGTTTATCTTTGAAACAGTGAGCAAATTCTCTTTAACAACATAATGAAAAAATGTTGTGAATTAAAGTATCTGGCAAAAAATGTTGATACTGAACAAATAAGCAAAGTGTTCACTGACAATGTAATTCAGTTATCAGCAAATGTTCAGTGGCAATGCACATCAGTTGATTTCTGCCTCATTAGGCAATCCTGCAATACAGTATCTGCTCAGAGGGACTACAGCATTATTTTTTATTACATTTTTTAATAACATCTATCCAAACTTATTATATATCCCTAACAAAAACCAAAGTCATTTTCTTGCCTAAACCTAAGACAGAAGTCTGGATGTGATTTGAAGTTCTGGTGCTAAAGTCCTACACTGTGAACACCAGCCATCCTCCCCAAACACGTCTTTCTGACACATACTGCGCATGTTACCTGAATGTTGTCAGGAATCAGTACAGGAAGGACCCAAATGCAGAGCAGCAGGCAGGTTTGAAGTTAAACAAAAAGCGATCTTTAATAAAGCTGATGAAAAACATCCCGAACAGGCAGATAAAAGAAAGTCCAAGTGACAGATGAACCAAAATGAACTGAAATCCAACCAGGATAACACAATTAACTCAGGTAGACAATCCAAACAGAACTCAAGACACACAGGCAGGAAACGGAGCAGGGAATGTCACCAGGAACACGGGGATGAGCACAGGAATAAACGCAGACGAACTGACCAGGAACAAAGGGAAGCACACAAGTATATATAGACAAAAACTAATCACAAGAACGAGACACAGCTGGAGTAGATGGACATGGGCAAAAGGAGGGAAATGGGGATTGACTTCCAACAAGGTTGTGGAGGGGAACACCAGGGTGGAGCTAACCAGACTAATACAGAACAGGTGTGAAGGGAAGACTCTGGGAACAGGGAAGAGCTAACGAGACTGAAGGAGGACAGGTGTGATAGAAAACAGGTGGGAAAACACACAAAGACAGGAAGTAAAATCAGACACGACACATGAGAAGAGAATCTACAAAATAAAACAGGAAACAGATTAAACATGAATGAATACCAAAACAAGGAGAAATACAAACAGAAAACCCCAAAAAGAAGTCCACAAGATAACATAATGTTAACATTGAATTGAATGGAATTTATTATCAGTGTGCACGTACTACAGTTTCAGGCTCCAGAAATTTGCATGTTCACCCTGAAAAATACAGAACATTTTCTTGCTAAAACACTAAAGTAACTTGAGCACAAAGAATAGCAAAAATGCACCCTCCAGCTCTGAGCCCACATTTCAACACCAAAATGTTATGTCATGTTCGAGTGAAATAATAAAATAATGATGGATGGCATTTATGTCCCAAGGTTGCAGAGCTGGTGACGAGTGAGTTCTTTGAACAAGGTGACAGAGAGAGGTCTGAGCTAAAGTTGACCCCAGCAGTGAGTAATCAAGCTTTCAGAGTCTTTTCTTTCATTGGGATTTTTCCACTTTCTGTTTCATAAATACATATGGGCTTTACATAAACCATGTTCTTGATGTGATCTGTTATTTGTTGTCAAATGGTTATGATGATTGTTGTTGGTCATGGATGACAGAAGGTTATCGTCTCTCTGTAGGCCATATTTGACCGCAACCGCAAAGATGAACTCCCTGCCTTACAGCTGGAGTGGATAGATGGGATATGTAAACCTCTTTACCAGGTAGGTAACCCCTGATGTCTAAAGCTAAACTTTTACTGCTAGTCTCATTTTCATAATCTAAAAATGATCAGGGAAGTCCATAATTTTTTTAAACTAGAAAGAATTAGGTGCATAATTAAGGACATTGAATATGCATTATTTATGCTGTACTCCCGTGTCTCTCCCAGGCACTGCTGAAGCTCAACAGGAAGTTGCAGCCGATGGTCGATGGCATAGAGGCCAATCGGAGTAAATGGCAGGATCTCTGCTCATCCTACCAGGAGACACGTAGAGCCTCAGTATCCAATCAGAGCCCAGAGCCCAGAGAAGACTCAGAGAGAAATCAACTCCCAGACTCCACAGGGACTCTGATGCCAGTTGCACACACCAAGTCTGGGTCAAAGTCTAAGTGCAGCCAGGATCTGAGGTGCAGAGTGGGCAAAGGTTCCTGTGGCGATTAAGCAGCATCTTCTGCCAACATAACATCTGCAGGAAAGAAGAAAATCAAGCTAAGTGTTAAGTGAAGGTTTATCCATTAAGTGGCTGACATGGGACTCTTCCCATACCCTGTGATTTTTGGACACATGCACTACCCTGACATGATTTTTAAAAATCTGGGTAAATTAAATGCAGTCTTCATCTGCTGAGCACATAGCTTCTGCCAAGTGTCACTGTGTTAAACTCAGGAGTGTGAATTCTCGTTCGTCAAACTCTATTTAAAGGGCAGTTTCCCATTTCTTTTTCTTTCTTTCTTTCTTTCTTTCTTTCTTTCTTTCTTTCTTTCTGCTTTTCATTACTTAGATGTAAAAGAATGAGAGACAGCTGTTGAAACCAAAGAGGGCCACTTATTACTGTAATGTTTTGTAATGGAAACTGCCTCAAAATTACAAGCCAATTGGACGCCTTTACAAAGCAAAAAAGGAATCACTGTGATTTCTCTCACATAAAAACACAAATTGCCATAACGAATGTAGACCGGAGCATGATCTTGTTGTGTTTTGTAGTTATGTTGAAACTGCATGTATCATTGATACACTGAATGTTGATACTGGACATTATCTTGATGCCTTTGACTGCCCTATGAGATTTGCTTTGCATGAAATTACTGTAAGGGAAATACTAAGTGTTGTTATGTAAGAGTATTGTCGCTGCACTATTGCTGTTGAGAACAGATACAGATTTCTATTTTCGATCACAGACTGTACCAAACTTATACATTCATTATTTTTCATACATCTGACTCTATATTTATGCAAGATGTAGAATTGGCTTTTTCTCCTGCTATTTATAAATTGTTCACTAAAAAAGACAAGAAAGTGCTGCATTTCAGATAAAAGGGAGTGAATCAATCTCCAGCTGGTTTTGTGAATAAAATGTGGCATGAAAACTGAGTATTTTTCGTAATTTGTGATTGACAAATTTATGTTGCTTTTCATGACTGTTGTTCACAATTACTGTAATTCTTACTGAAAGGTCCAGGGTGTAAGATTTAAGGGGATTTAGCGGCATGCAGATTGCAACCAGCTGAGAATTCTCTTGGTTAGAATTCCTTCACTGTTCATTGTTCAGGAAGCTTTTAGCTGAATTATCCACAAAGGTCACTTCCTCTCCAAAACAAATGGACTAGGTGATTAAAATCATTAAAATCACTGAGTAAAGCATCCTGAAAGTTAAAGTGGGAAAGGAGAGGGACAGTAGTGCAAAATATAGATGGGCACCAAGAACATGAGAAAAGAAAATAGAAAGTGCAAAGCAAGTGTTGTCAAGTGTTCTCAATTATAATAACGAGGTAAAAGTGGAACAAAATGAAATCCAAACATGGGAAGAAAAAAAATCTCAGGCCCCCATGAACCATCTTATCAAGAATGTTTGAAAAAGAATTCATGCTGTATGCTTGCTTTCAAATACCAGCATGTTGAGTCAAGTGACAGCTGTAAAATCAATTCCTAATTTTTCTGTGTCTCAGCACAATGCACATTTGATGGATGCAATTTCTCCCAAAACAAACAAACCAAAACACAAACAGGCAAAATCAATGGATAAGAAAATAACTTTTACACAGATGCTCTTTGGTGAAATTACACACCATGAAAATCAAAGATGATTTAGACCAGCAAAAATACCTATGAAGAGGAAAGATTGCCACAGCTCTAACCAGTGGTGTAAGTGATTATTATTACACTACGCTGAAAAGACGCTGGGAGAAGAGATCTCGGCTGGTGACATAACAAGGAGCCTCACCAAGGATGTTTTGAAGAGAATATGCTCTGAGGTGAAAGAGTGCAGGGCTCCATAATAACCTGATGCTTGAGTGTGTGCTAACGCAAAAAGTGATCAAAAAGAGCAGCAGTCATGCATCATCAAAAGGCTACGTTCAGCACCTACTAAGAGATGCTGTTGTGCGTTACTATACAGACACGGTAATAATATTTTAGCTGAACACTTAGGAGGACCATCCCCAGTCACAATCTATACCTTGATGCTACAGCTGGTAGTGTGGTGCAGAAAATCCCTGATCCAAAGAAACACGTCTTGTATTATGCTCTGGTTTTGCCATGGGCAAGAATAAGCCCAGCCTCCCTCACCTGTCAACAGCCACTCTGTCTCTTTCCCACCGGCCCAGTGTGCTTATGTCTTCAACAAGGAAAATATTTTAGTGTACGTTGCCAGAGCATTTAAACTTGTGTCTGGACAAAACTGAACTGATTCCCAACTTCACTGTGCTGCATCTGTATTCTGCCCACAGCATGAAAGCCACATGCATTTGGGAAAAAAGCAAAAACAAAACAAAAACAGTACAATACAAGATTATGCAACATTCAGTTTTGCTTACCGCCTCAGTTGTGCAAGTATGCATCTATGGCCCCACTAAAGGATTTTGGTGGTCAAGGATCAAAGGTCAAGGTCAACATGACCTTGCATCCATCTCATTCTTGTGAACACAATATCTAAAGAACAGCTTGAGTGAATTTCTTCAAATTTGGCACAAACATTTCCTTAACAGAATGAATTTTGATGGTCAAGGACCAAAGATCAAGGTCACTGTGACCTTGCCTTGCCTTGTCTCATTCTTGTGAATGCAATATCTCAAGAACACCTTAAGGTAATATCTTACACTTAAAACGAGGAATAAAGGTCAAAGGTTAAGGTCAGTGTGACCTTACAAAACGTGCTTTTGGCCATAACTCAAGAATTCTTTTGCTAATTATAACAAAACTTCACACGAATGGCTAGTAGGATAAGATGATGAAGTGATGACATTTTATATCCAAAAGGTCAAAAGTCAACTTGACTGTGACATCATAATGTTCTGCAAAAACACTTTTCTGGCCATTACTTAACGTCATATTTCAAGAACTGAGGGCGAGACATTTGGTCAGATACTGATATGGTGACAATAATCTTGAAACTGTGACGACAGTATAGATCTTCTGTGCTGCCAGAGAAAAGATGTGTGTGTGAAACATCCATGTTTTTACAGACATAGACGTAACTGTAAGAGAAACTTGACTGGTGCATGGAGGCAAACAACTGTGGGGTGGTCATTCTAGTTATTTTTTATTTTATTTATTTATTTATTTTTCAAAGATTATTTTTGTGGGCTTTTTCCTTTAATGACAGGACAGAGAGTGAAATGGGGAGACAGAGAGAGAGTGGGGACTGACATGCAGCGAAAGGGCCGCGAGCCAGATTCGAGCCTGCGGCCTCTGCAGCGAAGCAATGCCACTGTAGATGGAGCGCCGGCACTATCCACTACGCTACCGCCAAAAAAGTACACAAAAACAAATTAATTACAATAATGAGAGTAGCTAATTTATTATTTCCAGCCTTGCCCACAACTCAGTTCATAATGTCAGCTCACCATTCTGTCTCATTTGTGACCAAGGATTTGCTTGTTGAGGGTTTGTTACATTTTTACTGTGACCCCCAAACCCTAACCCGACAGAGACAACACTCATGTATTTACAGTAAAGATGACTAAACTCAGTACAATGCGAAGTGTAAGAAGGAGGTCTGGAGCAGAATGCTCAGTTAGTTTATCAGATGTCAACATCAGCTCATTGTATGATGACATGGCTGTTTGTCACCACTGATTATCACAACTTAAAGTTAGAAATACTTCTTTTAATTGTTTTGTGTCATACTCCAGTCTCTGTGGATATGGATATTGATAGCTTTTTGCAACTGAAATAAAAACATTTGCATTTCTGATGCTTTGCAGTCTTGTGATTGCACCATCTGCGTGAAATATCTTAAGAACAGAGTGCAACAATATCCATAAAATTGTTAACTACCACTTTCCGAATAATCTCACAGCAGAGCTAAGAGAACAAAGCTCATCTGTGAATAAAAGATACCCAGTGAGAAAAACACTTGTGACCTGAAAAGTGATGCTGAAGGTTAACTCATCCACAAAGCCAACAAACCACAGCCACAGCCTCACAGAGATCACATTGTCGAGAGAATCCTTACATATTCATACAATCTCTTTTAAATCCCGTTATTCATCTGTGTGAAGTGTTTGATGTTGATTTTAATAAGGCAGTGAGGTGAGGCAACAGTAGCAGCGGCGGCAGCAGCAGAAGTGTGTAAAACTCAGTGCAGCTCGACACGCATGCAGCCGCCAGCTGCCAAGCCATAGCCAGAGCTGGGCCTTAATCTATAATTTAACATGGATTGAGTTTATTCTCCTCAGGGTCGATGATCAGGGGAGCCGGATGGAGAGAGGAGGGAGAGCCTTCCAACCTCATTTTTGATACAGGGCCATAGTCTTTGATCTCTCCCTCCCTCTCTATATTTCTCTTCTCTCTTTTCCCCCTGTTTTATCTCCCTCACACACACAGACACAATATATTTCACTCCTATTCCGTCTGACGTTCTGCACTATATGCACACAGAGACAAACAGATGCAAAGCCCTAAATGACTGGGTGAAAAACAAACAGCCTGGAGAGACTTATTGTGTAATGTTTAATAATCTCTTAAGATATTCATACACCTAGTTTGTATCCTGAGTCATTTCTTATGAGGCGGAGGCTGAGAATAGAAACCAAACAATCAGGCGATAACCTCTGAGAATGAGTTATAGTGGGGCTATTAAACAGTGTGTGTAAACATAAGCACAGTAATGAGATCACTCTTTACTGCTGCTTTGTAAATCTAGAGGAAATGTCCTACATCCGTTTTTAGAAACTAGACTGTGGCGAGCAAAGCCATGCAAATGTAATAGTGTGAAGTAGACTATAAATATTAATACATACTCTCAATACTAATGGTAATGTACCAGGAATAGCTTTGTTTGCCTCATGATTATTTATTTTGCCTTGTGCACATATATTTTTTATGATACAACACTGAAGCTCTGTTTTAAAAGAAAGATAGGACTGGTGGGCGTCAGTGTGATGGCTTCAATAATCACATATTCACCAGCACATCATAAAAGTTAGAGCTTGAATACTGTCAGCAGGAAACTACTAAATGCAAACACTTATTGAATGATGGAAAATAACTATTTGAATGGTTTTTCTTTACTTCTTAAAAACTAAGGTGATGATTTAGATACTAATGTTCAGAGGAAGGACCAAGTCATGTTTTGCAATGTGAGTCTGAAGTCACTCAAGTACAAAGTCTTAAGTCCTTAACTTTGATTTTTGAGTCCTAAACAAGTCATAATGCACTCTTCACCAAATTTAATGCCATTTTAATAACAGAGTGACAGTATACTAAATTGCTAAAAGTCATGAATGCTTTTAAAAATGTGTATTTATTTGTTAAAATGAGTTCGTTAGAAGTTTTTACATCTCCGTCTGAAATTTTTGACCTGCGTGTTTTGCATACTGCAATTTGTTTTTTGTCGACTACCATGTAGGCCTAGTTTTTGTACATGAATGACATTATTGTAACAGGGTTTGATGTGTGGTGGTTGGCTCGCTCTGGTTGGGGCACACAGCAGGAAGGAGACATACATTCTCTTGAGCAGCACTTTAGTTTGCTCAACACTTCAGCAGCTTCCCAACTACCACATTTTCCAGCCCTGCGTTCCAAATCGCATACTTCTACTATATACTTTTAGTATGTACTGCAGCTGCCCTTAAAAAGTATGTAGTGTAGTATGCAGTGTGCATGCAGTATGCATACTATTGGGACACACTAAATCCGCCATCACATCGCTCCCTGAACTCTGACCCTCTTGCTCACTTCCGCCGCCGTCCGTAGCGCCACATTTGAATATTTTATGTTGTTGTACTTCGGAGATGCAGCAAATCTCCTCTTGTCGAGCTCGCCAGAGTCGTGCATACTGTCGGAGGTGCCGGAGAGCTCTGTTGCTGTTATGTCGTCATGTATGTTGTTGTTTCTAATAAACAGTCCCAAGCCTATTATTAGTGACCTGT